CTAAGCATATTGTATCACACAGACAGTTGCCTGCTTTGGGTTTCTCGCGTCACGACCCTTTATGTTTCTTATAAACTCAAAGCGCTCTTGTACTGCCTGTACACAATTTTTCAAAAATTTACAATGACAAGCTAATTAGTGACGCTCCAGATCACAATTTAACCTGTTTGGTAGCAGAACCTACAATTGACGTTAAAGTCTCTTCTTCCTGTCCTGCTTCTTGCCTTCTCTTGCTCCTGTCCTGTGGATGACAGAGGTAGCAAGGATGGCAATGGCGCAACAGAATTGAGAATTTCTTAAATTCAAGTGGAAACGATCTGAAGATAACTGATTAAATATACGTGGTAGAGCCATGCTGCAGCTATGTTAGTAGTATTGTTGTAGCACGAATGGGCCAGCTCGACCGGGGAAGGACTACGCTCTCACAGAATACCAGCGTAAAATAGCAGCTTAACGCTTCTTTGTTTCGTATGGTGACTGTAGAGAATCGGAGACTCATTTTACTGGAAATGAGGCATTCCATCTTAGTCCTCACGGTTGACAACGCATCTGCATTTTGATTTGTAATGTAGGATAGATGTAGATGTCTATGGGCCGCAGCAACCACTTACCATCAGGTGGATTGTGTGCTCTTTTGTCACCATTATCCTATAAAAAAACCTCGTCATTCTTTAAATTAGCCAGGAATAGGTGTAATCAGATGGTATGTGCTGCTAAATGCCGATATTTTGATAACTGTATAAATGGTTCCTATTTTAGCAATCATGTCTAAGGCTATGGGCCGCGAAAAAAATAAGCAGACAAATGGTCGTCACTATCTTAGATCCTCTTTTCCCAGCAGTAACTTACATTATTACATATTAAGTTTTTCCCTTGACTCGGGGCAATATCCTTAGTCATTCGAAAAAGGCTTATGTTGAGGCCCGTTACCTGCTCCTATCCTTCCCATTTTCGCCCTATTTCAATTCTGCCGTTACTCTAAAACTCTAAAGTTTTAGAAGCCTGTGTTCATAAGCGGATCTCTACGTTTATCTTGAAACATAATCTGCTGAGTCCATATCAGTCCGCGTTTCGTCCAGGGCACAGCACTACCACTGCTTTAATCATAGTCACTGATGACATTAGAAAAGGTACGGATGAAAAAAGAAAGTGCTAGTGCCATTTGACTTTTCTAATGCTTTTAACACACTGATCATAATATCCTTCTTTCTATCCTATCCTATCTTGATTTTGAGCCGACTGTCTTAGATTGGTTTGCATCCTATCTTCGCGGGCGTCAACAGACAGTTCATGTAGGTCAAATGACCTCAGCTTGGGCTAAGGTTGACAGTGACAGTACCGCAAGACAGTACACTCTATCCTATCATCTTCTCAGTTTTTATAATCTTGATCACTCATAATCTTGATTGCTCGTTCCATCTGTACGCCGATGATCTGCAGCTATATGTGCAATGTAGCGTTGAAGATCTACATAATGGAATTCACAAATTAAACCAAACATAAACATTATTGATTGCTCCTAGAGTTATGGAGTCAGTGTCAATCCAGTTAATTGCCAAGCTATTTTAGTGGGTTGTAAAAGGTTGCTGGCTAGAGTTAATCAAGCAGACTTACCTCCTATTTATTATCACAATATTATTATTCCATTTAGTAAATTTATTAAAAACCTTGGTCTGTATATTGATAGCTCTCTGAACTGGAAAGTTCAGGTTACCGATCTAAGTCGGAAGGTCATCGCCACCTTACGTTCCCTTTATCTTCGAAAACACTTCGTTCCTATTAAGTCTAAGCTCGTGCTTGTCCAAACTTATTTTACCTACTTTTGATTTTGCAGATGTGTGCTACCTAGACCTGTCCCAAGAATTTCTTAACAACCTGGAGGTCTGCGAAAGTATGACTATATTACTCAGCATAGATCTCAGCTTAAGTGGCTTATCATTAGGCAAAGGTGCAACGAGTTGCGAGTTGCGCCTTGGAGAATATTACTTGTTTTTTTTTCAATTCTAAATGATCCATATTTGCCTTCTTACCTCAAGGATCGATTTCAATCTTCCTCTAACAACAAGATTTATATTCCTATCCTACTCATCTCACCAATTTCTATAGCAACTCCTTCACTGTTCAGGATGTACTTCTTTGAAATTCCTTGCCTGATGATATCAGAAAAGCGCCTAACAAATACTCCTTTAAAAAGTTCGTTCGCGAGTATTTACTGAGGAATCATTAGTATACTAGCTAGTAGTGGTGGTAGTCACACTTGCGTTGGGGTAAGAACGGTGATGGGGCAAGATCGTAAGATTCAAATTTCCGGCGAATTATGTTTTTAAATGCTAACAATATGGTACACGACGCCATTTCATTCTGCCCCGACCCCGAGTTCCCGCCATTTGCTCCGGGAAGTAGGACGTGTGCTGCGCGGCATTTTATAAAATAAGATAATTTTTTCTTGTCCATCCGGTCTTTCCCTGTCACTTTTATTTGTGATTGTTAGCGAGAATATAGGTTCATTTGTTATTATTTTGTCTGAATACTAAGTTTTATGAGGTTATAGCCAGATAAAACTGATCCAAACAGGGCTTAGATCGCTGTACGCCGATCGGATGAATTTTATCCGATACTTACCCGTTACAAATATGGCAGTGGTTGTTAAACTTTCATTTGTAGTGTATATTCTTTCGAAGATTGCTCAAGTGACTATGGGAATGGGACTCCGTATCACTATCAAATATATTGTGCTTTAATTTACCTAATTGAGCTTCATTTTTAAGAGAGTGTTTTTTACTTTTAATAAATACGTGATTACAATTTGAGGTTGCCAAAAGTATATTTTTTGGGAATTTTAATAAAATATTTTTGAAGAGGTCTGGTAATACTTTATAACCGGCATAAACGTCTGGGACTACTTATTTTTTGAATTTATATAATTAAATTAAAAGATAATAAAGAAATCAAGTAGCCAAAAAAACATTTTTTCGGATATTTTTTTTGCAAATGTTATATACTACGCAGTAACGAAATAACCACAAACGCTCTGCTAGACTCGCGGGACTGGATTCGCTAAATGACGAAATTTTATTTTTTCACAATTTCAACTAACCGAAAGGATCTTTCAAAAATTCGTCGCCATTTCTTGGACTACCCTAACGCACCTTATTTATTAGAGAGACTCAGATCAGAGCGATTCACTAACATCACATGTGTAATAAAGTGACAGTAGCCTGAACTTATTCTAATTTATATTGGTGTTGATGAAATATATAGATATCATTAATAGAAACTTTCTTATTCAATATAGATTATAAATAATACTTATTGTTAGTCACTCTTATTCATAATTTACCTCTGATTCGGAATATACATACCTCTGTCCTGGGAAGAAGCAGCAAGAAACCCAGCGGGACGTTTTTTTTAAAGATATTAGTTTATAATGATTAAAAAAATGTTATACAAATAACAACATCATACAAATTAGAAACCGCTTGCTAAGCGATCACCTCATTCCAGGGGCTATTATCATTCATTTTAAATTAAAAAAAATGGCAATTAAATCAGTAATTAATGAATGACCACAATTAAAATGTGCGTGATAGAGCATTCATTTCAAAATTCTGGACTATCCTAACTTCGGAATTTTGGAACAGTTTTTCCGATGTTTCAATTCCGGAATTGAGAGTAATATTAAATAATTTTACACATTCAGTGTTATTTTCATATTTCTGTATGCATATTATCTAACATTTGTGGAATTTCCACATTTGGATTTATGTTTATATGTAGTATGTTTGTGAGTCACATCAAACCCGTCAGCACCAAAGAAATTGTTCATTGCATTTTTAAATAATAATTTTATCGTGTGTTTGACGCTGAAGGACAACATCACGAGGAAACCGGCATGACTGAAAAAAAATACTTATATATATATATATATATATATATATATATATAAACGGTGGGACGTATATATTTATATAGGACGTATATTATTTTTACCCAAAATAAACATTTTATAAATGAACACAGCTTTAAGCTTAGGAGATTAAGTCATTTGAATAAACGTTTTTTAAACGAGAAAAAATAAAAGATTGATCTAATAAATTTTCTTTGATTTCGTTATACAAAGTAGTACAATCCTTCTTTCTGTTGTTAGAAGTCAATAACTTTGGCGGCTCCTTGGCGCAGTGGCTTAGCAATGTCCCAATCATCAACAAATATTTATTGTATGGTCTACAAATAATTGTTCTGCCTCTGTTATACTGGCTACATGGTACAGGAGCATGTTCTAGTGTAGTCCAGGAGTAGTCTCTAGACTTAAAACAAGAGAATGAAGAAAATAAGAAAAACTGTTAAACAGTTGCTAGTTCTGGAATTCCGAAATTAGGTCTCCAGTATCGGCAATCAGTTATGCAAATGAAAAAAAAATGAACTGTGCTATATGGCATTTCATGAACTAGAGCCTATGTTCAACAGTGGACCTGTGATGGGTGTTAATGATGATGATGATGAAGGAGCATTACACCTCAGTGTCTTCCATTATAGATACATGCAGTATTTATACAATTCACAATTTTACTGGCTTAAAAATGCCAGCAGGTGCTGATATTTATGTAGTGTGCAAGAGACAAAAAAATCCATGGACTATTTAAGCTAGTTCCGCCTGCCTCTCTCTCATAGTCCGATGGGACGGTGATCCGACACAACCGGAGAGCGATTAGGCGCAAGACTTACGGCTTTACGTACTTTCTGAGGCAACGGGGTTTCACCGCCAAATTCCTGTCCCCGGGCTGCTACGGAGAATTTCTTGACAGGCAAACCTAATAACTAACTTTTGGCTTGACCTGGGATTTCTGGGGACCTGAAGACCAGGACCTCATTATCAACAACCGCGTTTACGGTCATTAGACAAACGAGGCAGTCATTGTAATAGGTACTACATAGTTAACAAACTTACACGTAAGTTATATGGAGTTTGTTGTACATGAGGACAATCTTACAATCAACAGCATGAAGATGAAGAAAACTGGCCGTTGGAGGATAAGACTTCATGCAAAGAGAGGAGCAAGAAAATTGTTGGAGTCCCCACAAACAGTCAACAAATATTTACCAAAGATGATTGTGCTTGCTACTTTAACTATGGGTGAGTGTAAATATATATTTTTTTGATTTATATAACACATACACTTAACAATATTCTAGATCAAAGCATCTGACTGATGAGTCAAGGATATATCTGGAATAGAATTCCAGTCCAATCTAACGTTCTTGCAGGAAAACAAATTAGGTTAGTAGGTTGTATGATTTACAGTTTTGGAGTATTAAGGTTCATCCGGGGACTCAACAGTACAAACCAGGAAAAAAATCGTGAATTAAATGAAGTTGTTACCTTGTTCTTACATAGAACAAGGTGAAATTTCGTTTGGTAAACATAGAATTTCTTCAAATAGTAATAAACTAGTATAATAGTACATATTTATTATTTTCATCACTATTAAGGTTACTGTTGGATATATGATTTAATTATAGTAATTTGCGTTCGACCTAATTTTTATTGTAGGTATGACAATTTTATCCATATTAATAAATATTTTTTAAGTTCTCTACTAGACTTCTGCATTTGGTTTTATATGTATAGAATATAAACTGCTCGATTCAGTTCGTAGTAAAATGTTTGTATCAAGCTCAGTTGCTCTTGGTCAAGCATAGTTAGTTCATGGTCAACAATATGCACAGGTAACGTGCTTGGTTGTATTGAAACGCATGACTGGGACATGTCAAATCTAATTCTTATTACTCCTCGTTGTTCAATGTTTTAAATACCTAGGTTGGAAATAGGAGTAGATAAAATTCGTTCTATGTCGCTGAATAATAATAATAGAATTGATAACCATCACTTGTGATTTTTAGCAATTCAAATTATCCTGGTTTGGCGATATCTTCGGGGAAACCGTGCACTACAGGATTAGGTTATTAAGACCAACAACTATTGGAGATACATCCTAAAGGATGGCACTGTCCATATCAGTCGAACTTGTCGCCATCACGGCGAGTCACTTAGGCATGTTATCTCTGATTGTTCGGCGTTTTCTAATTCTGAGTACTTGCCCAGGTACAACCTATCTAGTAGCCAAAATTCTACACCAGGAGCTCGCTCTGACATACAGTCTCGAAGATCGGAAATTGCCTTATTGTAAGTACTTGCCAGAAGCCGAAAAATGACCATCCCAGGCTCTTCTGGGACTGGGCCAGCATCACTGAAACAGAAAAAGAAACAGAATACAGACAGGACTTGCGATAAGCCTGATATTGTGCTGATGGACCGGGCACAGTCATTTTTCAGACCCCGACGAAAACCGTACTGGCGGTCACTAATCAGCTGGTGATCCTCAAGGTACCGCATGAGGTGGCAGTTTACAACGGATTCCATTATTTTGGAGAACAAGGGGGTGATGGCGATAGGCCTGTAGTTGGACGGATCTGAGCGGTCGCCTTTTTTAGGGACCGGGTGGACAAAAGCTGTCTTCCATGATTTCATGACTACGCCTAGGGAGTAGGAGTACCGGAAAAGACGCGTTAGAACCGGTGCCAACTCCGGAGCACACGTCCTCAGCACAATTGGGGGGATTCCGTCAGGCCCACTCGACTTGTGGATGTCAAGGGAGAGGAGTGCTCTGCGAACCGAGCGCTGTGAGAATCGCACATCCGGCATGGAGCACTCACACCGCGGGATGGTCGGCGGTGTGTTCCCCCCGTCATCAACAGTCGAGTTGGACGCAAAAAGGGAGCCTAAAAGGTCGGCCTTCTCTTTTGCGTCGTGGGCCAGTGAGTCGTCCTCCCTGTGCAGAGATGGTAGTGATGGCTTACAGAAATTCCCTTGGACAGCCTTGGCGAGAGACCAGAATGCACGGGTTCCCGAAGGAAGGCGAACTAGTTTCTCGCCAATTCTGCCTATGTGCTCTGACTTTGCCTTGGCAATAACTCTTTTGAGGGACCTGGAGGCGAAGTTATACTTCTTTTTGAGTGTGCTGGTGTTTACATCCCGAGTCACCGAAGCCGCAGCCCAGGCTTGATAACACTCCTGCTTACTGCGTAATGCAGTCTTACAGGAGCGACCAAACCAAGGCTGAGATCTGCCTCCGATGGGTACCACAGATGATGGAATAAATAGTTCCATTCCCTGTAGCACTACATCAGTGACAGAGTCAGCAACAGCGCTGGGATCATCCGGCGAGAAGCAAACCCGCCCCCATGGGTAGGAAGCAAAGAAAGACCGCATTCCGTCCCAATCCGCCGACCTGTAATGCCAAACACGGCGGCAACCTGCAGAACGCAACTGCGAGGGGAGCGTGAGTGGCACCACACTCCGGATCAGACAATGGTCCGAAGAGCCAAGAGGGGCATCGACGGAAACCTGATATCCGTCCGGATGAGAGGTCAGCAGAAGGTCCAACAGGGAAGGTGTATGATCCTCAACATCTGAATTCCGCGTAGGCGATGTAACCAGTTGTGTCAGACCATATGCCAAGGCAAAGTCATAAACAGATCTCCCCGCATGATCGGTTAAACGTGAACCGAGCCATTCGGCGTGGAGGACGTTAAAATCGCCAAGGATCACGATCTCTGCGGATGGGACCTGTTGTAGCAAAGAATCTGTAGCCATTTGGACGTGGTCGATGAGTCGGTCTGTTTCGGCATTACCGCTATGGGACCTATAGAGGCACACGTAGACGCGCGGATGGTCGTCGCTGTCTACGCGTAGCCAAAGGATGGACAGGTCCGAACCTTCAAGACTGCCGAGGCGTCGAGAACAGATGTCCTCTCTGACATACACGCAAACTCCAGCCCGAGGCACAAAGGAGTGCTCCAATTTGTACCCCGGGTAGGAGAGATACGAAGTATCAGCCGGAGAGGACACCTGCGTCTCGGTCAGAAAGAGCAAGGCCGGCTTCGCCGTCTCAAGATGGTAGTGGACGGCGTTTAGGTTCGAGTGAAGTCCCCTGATGTTGCAGAAATTCACGGATAGCGTGGCAGGGGTCGCCTTGGTCTTGTTGCTCAGTTTGCCCCGAGCAGTTATTGTGTTGAGCGGAATTTTGCCCCCCCCAGAATACGCGGGGCAGCCTGAGCACCCACGCTCAGGAGTGGAATAGCATGGTCGTGGATGCTCAGCGAGGGATTCTCCAGGGGTACTGGTACCCTCCTGGGGTAGTTTATGACGTAATTCCGCTACCATGTTGATTGGGGGGGGGGGGGATTGGGCATCCGGTCACCTGCACTCACCAGACGAAACGCGGAAGCAGAGCTTCCACTTCACGCCGGTATTCTGTGAGGTCGTGGTACTAACCCGGCTCGAGCCGGCCCATACGTGCAACAGCAAAAGCTGCTGCAAGGCTCTACCACCGTTAAAGTTAAAGTTGGTTCTGTCCATGGTGATGGTTCTCCTGGTGCAGGATGGTGTTGGGTATTGAAGAAGTTGCTGGAGGTATTTCTAAGCGTTTAGTCATTTGTTATTGGTATATGGTCGCATTACAGGCATTGGTGTGTGATTGTGGCTGCGATCGGTGAACAGCTGGTAGTGTGGTGAAGGGCCTCTTTGTACAGACTAACATTGGTCGACTTGGTAGTCGTTGATTCGATTCTGGATCGTGTCCCAGAAAGTGATGAGGATATGGGTTGCGGTTTGTTACTGTCTATTGCGACATTGGGATCAGTGTGTGAAGTCTAGTAAATGGCTTGAATGATTTCTCAGTGCTTTGGCACATTGTACATAGTGATTTTTCGGAGAACTTGGCGGGAGGAGTGTTACTCTGTAATTATAGACATAGACATATGTTTTATTAGCACCAATAAACTCGCAAAGTATACATTTAGAAATAAATAAAAACATAAAAAACATACAAGGTACAAGATGGAAAACATAAATAAAAATAAATCTCACCAAGAGTGAGTGATGTGATGCCAAAAAGACTTCCGTCTTAAGTCTCTGTAAATAGTTTTTAAATTATTAAACAACTAGCTGTCCCTCGCGTCTTCGCCCGCGTGGAATTTACTACGGTTTCATGGGTTTTAATTTTTTGCACGGAACTCATAAAAATAGTAATCATAAGTTACTCCTTATAACATCAGCTATCTGCCAGTGAAAGTCCCGTCAAAATAGGTCTAGCCGTTTCGGAGATTAGCCGGAACAAACAGGCAGACAGACAGCAGACAAAATTTAAAAAAAAAATTTCTTATAATTCCGTATATACTTTCATATGCATTTAGTAAAAAGCTGTTAGTTTAATCTTACAAACAGACACTTCAATTTTATTTATTTGTATAGATAAAATATCAGAAAAATAATTACGAAATCGCTTATCGAGCATGTTTCGGCGTTGGACGTGACGCTTCTTTACGAAATTGCGAAATGCTCTCGTGGTTGGGTATGCACCACACTAACAACTAACTAAAACAACAACTAAAACTAGCACTACTGCTGCCTACAGTTAGTGAGAACTCGGATTTAGCGTCGCGTATCTGTAGTCGTTTTCTGTTTACATCAATCGACTTCTGGAAATGGATAAGATGTATTTGCAGTAGTCGCAATGGTCACAGTTCCAGATGTCTCACACATTTGACTATAGAAAGAAAGAAAGAACATATTCATTCTTTGCTAATTGTAAAAAGAAACCTTAATAACATAATGACTTCTTATATTTACACGAATACTTCAAAATACTTTAAGGTCATTCTGCGTACATCGGAACAAAAATTAATATTTAAAATCTGAAGGTTGTCCAGGTTAACTACGGCATCGAGATGTCAAACACTTCAGTCTCACCCCGTGGGCCATCTTGTAAACAAGCAAAGAAAGCAGCGTTTATTTTATTGATATATAGATATATTTTATTGATAGCCCCGATAAATATTGATTCTGTATTGCGCCTGCGTAGTTATCGGGGCTAACTTTCCATTTAAAAAATAATGACTCAACAATTCACTCAAAGTATACCTTTCAAAGTATATAGATAAAAGTCAAAAAATATACATACAATACATACATGTACCTAAACGCACTCGCACATAAAATATATTATATATTATATAAACATTAATTTTCCATATATATATTTGTTAAATCGTATTTATGAAATAATGATTTTT